GCCCGTCTGCCCTCAGCCCCCCGGGCGACCGGCCTCCCCGGGCCGCTTCCCCGCCCCCTTACGGATAGCGTTTCCAAGGCTATTTTTGGGCCTCGGGCTAGCGCACTATAAAAGTCCCAGGGAGAGTGAGTGGGACAGTGAGACGTGGCACTGACTCTCCTGCGGGATAGACGCGCGAGCATCCTGCTCAGGTACGTGGGCGCCAGTGTCCCCTGCGCTCCTGTTCCGTGGCGGTGCGGGTGCATGGCCTGTGGTGTTCCACGGAGAATGCCATCGCTTTCCCTGCGCCGACTGCCTGGGCTTGTCGCCCGCCAGGCTCGCGCGTGGCTTTTCCAGGGCGCTTGCATGTTCCTGCAAACTACGGTACAAACTAAACCCCTGCCACGGTCGGCAAGACTGCCCGCGGTTGAAGGTGTAAAATGTTATGACCCGTTTAATATGTGAAACAAATAAAAGCATGGAACGGACCCAATGAACAAGAGCGCTAGCGTATGAGACTCAATTAAAACAACTATCATCCAAAGCTGCTTGCAGTCCAGAATGGGAGGAATTCAAATGGCCTGAAACGCCACGAGTTGAATCACCACGTTGGCTTACTTATATAAGATATTCGCTCATAGGAAAGACTAATGAATATGAAAGTTCGTGTTTATCAAAAATACTGAAAGTTGGCAAACGGTAGCAGTTATACTGATAGCTGTTTGGTATGAAAACCAATATAAATATAAGGATAAAATTGTATTGGCCAAATTCTGATTTCAGGTACATATTTATAACCTAGACAGCTTCCTTTGACTATGACAGTAAGTTTTAATTTCAGAAGCACCGGCTAATGAATTTTAGACAGTGTGGTATTTTCTTCACAAGTCCTAAATCTTGGACAGATTTTTTTAGATATGAAAAAATTCATCTAATTGTAAACTGGTCGTGGAAACGTTCACCCAATCACATCATTTAAAAAAAATCTTAATCATTTGGATGGATTTTAAATTATAGATATATAAATATATCATGTAGTGCTTTCTGTAGATTTTCACAGCTTACAACAGCTTTAATTTTTAAACTCAGAAAGAGAGACTATTTTTCTAAATCTTTAAAAACAACATCGCAAGTACTTTTAACTTAGAAAAGTAAAGTACATGCAAGAAAGTAAACAAGTAAACATACCAATAAGATTATTAATTCCTGGAGTTTTGCTGAGATCTTAGACCAAGGATTTTCAACCTTTTTTCTTTTTGAGTCCCACACCAACATGTTAGGAAAACTCCAGGGCTCAAGGCTGGGAGACCTTCAGGCATAGGCGTAGTTTGAGTTCTAGTGGTAGAGCCCTGTGCAGTTACAAAATTTGTATCTGCAAAAATGATCCACGGAAATCTGCACCACATCACAGATGCAGATACCTGTGGATATCTGCACATTTGAAGAATTCTAGATACAAAATTTGCATCCGCATCTGTAGCCACAAAAATGAGCTAAGGACATTCACAGATATCTGCAGATATAAAGTGAATTTCTGTGGATTTGCAGGGTTCTATTACAGGGGAGAGGAAGGGGATTGTGGGGGTTAGGCCAGCTCCACCTTGCAAGGTTTGTGGAGGGAACACTTCCTCCATGTCCTTACTCACCTTAGCGGACCAGCTAGCCTGTTGGGTTCGGTGATGGGGGAGAGGAGGACCAAAAACTAAAAGGGAAAAGAGGCTCAGCTCAAAAAGTCTGAAAATTGCTCACGCAAGAAGTAGCTATTGGGGCAGGGTGGCTAGGACTGTGTGCATGGAGAGGGTAGCAAGGGCTGTCTGCTAGAGTGACCATATTTCCCAAAAGCAGACACCACCCAAGTTCCCTGACTCCAACCACATGCAAGATTGGCATCGCTGCTTGCTCGAGCCCTGCTCTCCTCCTCCAAAGTCTGGGGCTGATATCAGGGCTTGCTTGAGCCCTGTCTCCCTCTCCCTGCATGGGGATTGCATTGCTTCATTGCTGCTTGTCCCCCAACATGTTCCTCTGCATCTCACATTTGTGACTGAAGTGGGCATTTGATTTGTCCTATTTGCTCTTGCCAGCTTGATCAGCTGGCAAGATCAATAGGACAAATGCCCCCATCATTGCCAAAAGAAGTAGAAACAGGGCTTTAAAAAGGGCTGTCCCAGACATGGTCACCCTACTGTGTGAGGACAACAGTGTTCCCTTTAATTTTTTACATCCATATGCAGAACGAATTTTGTTATGTGCATCAATACAGAGGCCATGTGGAGCAGAGTAGGAACAACAAATTTGGAGTGTGAGGGGGTTCAGAACTGGGCAAAGAATTTGGATGAATGGGGGGGTGAAGATTCTGAGGTGGGGCTCAGGATGAGGGCTGTGGGATACCCAGGAGGTGGTCCAGAGCTGGAGTAGAGGGGCCAGGGATGAGGGTTCAGAGTGCAAGAGGGAGCTCAGGGTTGGGGATGAGCAGGTGAGGATCCTGGCTGGGAGGTGCAGGCTGTGCAGTAAAGCCCTGGGGCTGCAGTGAGGAGAAAGGATTCCCTTCTTCCCCTAGCTTTCTCTCACTCTGGGGCTGGGGCAGCGGCAGCTCCCCAGCTGCATCCCTGCATGCCCCAACTTGCTACTTGCCCATCACCTACCTCTCTGTTCTCCAGGTCCCTATGGCTGAGTGGCCACACACCTTAGAGGGTGCATACGATGGTGGGGATGGGTGGCTCAGGGTGCAGAGAGGAGTAACTAGAGGCTATGGTGGGAGGCTCCCTTTTATCAGGGCCCCAAGCCATGGGTGGTCAGTGAAGGTAGGACTGAGGGAGGCAGGCTCCCAATCCTACTACAGCTCTGCCCTCCACCACAGAGAGGGGAGGAGGTGGGGTAGAACGCCAAGCGTGCACACACCCCACCACCACCACGGGACAGGAGCAAGCATGCGTGCGCCCCAACCTCTCTGGCCCGGAGCACTGGGGAGGGAGGAGAGTGCGCAGCTGTAGCTTCCCCAGACCTGGAGTACAGGGAGGATGGGAGTTCTTGGGCAGCAACACTCAGCCTCAGTACGCCTCCCACAGGAGTTCTGGGGGCTAAGTGCGAGCGGCACCATGCCTGGCAGTCTCAGAAGGCAGTGCCTTCCCCCGCCTAGGCTACTGGACAGCCATGCCCCTCATCCAGGCAGCTCTGACTTACTGCATGAGCAATTAGAGGGGGCTGGGAGGTGGGTAGGGTGTTAGAAATCGAATAATTGAATAATCGTGTAATCGCATCAAATATTAGCAGTTACACGATTATTTGATAACACCAGTGTGCTCCTAGTTCCACTCCAGAGAAGCTCCCAGCTATCCTGCGCTGCTGCCTCTGGTACAGTGGCAACAGCGCAGGGTGGCAGGCAGGAGCCAGTCTGTGTGGAGAGCCGGTTTAAAAGTAGGCTACCCACGAGTACCGACTCTGTGGAGACACCTGTCCCTCCCTGCGCTGCTGCCTCTAACAGAGCAGCAGCACAGGGGCAGAGGAAAGTAGGGGAGGCTGCCGTGGAGCAGCATCTGTCTGTGGGGGGGCTGGGCTCGCCACGGACAGAGGCTGCTCCATGGAATGCAGGCATAGCCTCTGTCTGTGGGGAGCCCAGGGCCACTGTGGACAGAGGCTGCTCCATGGCAGCTGCCCCTACCCCCAGGGGGGCTCCATGAATAGAGGCTGTGCCAGCGTCCCACAGAGCAGCCTCCCCTGCTCCCTCCAGCATTGCTGCCTCTAATAGAGGCAGCAGCGCGGAGGGGGGGCTGCAGCAGCTCTGCAGAGCCAGTGCTCAGGGAAAGCCCGTTTTTAAACTGGCTCCCCCTGAGCACCGACTACTGCCTTCCCCTCTAAAGAGGCAGCAGCGCGGGGGTGGAGGAGCAGGTGGCTCTACGGGATCCAGTACTCACAGGAAGCTAGTTTAAAAGCCGGCTCCTGCCTCCCTGCCCCTTGCTATCTCTGATACAGAGGCAGCAAGGGAGGAAATGCGTGTAGGCCATCGGATTAACCAATAAGGCAAGGCTTATTGGTTAATTGCATAGTTGACTACACATTGGCACCCCTAACTTAAATGCTACTTCTCTACATATATCTGCTGACCATGAACTTTAACATGACTGATTTCAAGAGTGATCAATTCACTTAACTTCAGCTTCCTGCCTCTGAGTTGGCCAAGAAGCGGGGCATTGGAGGCAGATACAGAGGAGGAGGTAGGGGAGTGTGGAGCTGTCTATGGCAGGAGTGGGAAACTTTTTTTTGGGTTCGGGATTATTAACCCACAGGAGGTGCCCTAGGCAGCTGCATAGGGGGTCGCTCTTGTGGGTATTTCCAGCTCCAGCAGGCACCCCCACACACACATGGGCTGCTCTCCAGGCCACATTCCCACATGGGCTGCGTCCGTGGAAAGCCACGTCCAGTCCCTACTCTCTCCCCACTCCACCCCCTCCTCCAAGCAACACTCACCGTTGACAACAGGGGGAAATGGAGCGACCCAGCCACAGCCCACTCTGCTGGTTTCCAGCTGCGTCACTCAGCTTCTTGCCACTGTTGGTGAGTGCAGGGGGGTGGTCCCCTCCCCTGACTGATGCGGCTAGGAGCTGGGGGAGTGGAACAGGCTGTGGCCAGGTCACTGCTTCCGGTTGTCCCCGGTTATTGCAGGGTTGGGCCTGACCTCTGCTGCCTCCCTTCCCTCCTCCTGCCCCCATGTCCCACAGCTCTAAGCACAGCCCCATCTTCCCCCCTCAAAGCAGCTGCCCTCTCATTGGGGGTTCAAGTGCTCAGGCTGCATAGGGCATTACAACTGCTAGGGATGGTCATAAAGAGTCCATATGCCTCTCCAGTTTGGCTGGTTGTCTGTGCGTGCTCAGAAACACTGCTGAAGCTGGCTGCCCTCACTCTGCCCTCTCCCTCTCCCTCTCCCCGCACTATTGGCAGGCATGTGTTGTCTGTGTCCTGAAATCATACTGCCTCCAAATAATCCATTAGAGTTTTATCTCATGTGCTTCATACACGTTCACTAAGATGCTGATATAATCCCACAGCAATATTAGTGACCATTTTTATTTTAAGAAACCCCTAACAAAAGAATTTAACAGCTACATGAAAATGGCCATTATATTACTGTGATAAAAATGAACTACATAATGTAAAATTATTCTAGACACTGCATTTAATAACATTTGAGTAAATCATTGCAGAATAATTGATTGGG